TAAGTCGGGTATTTTAAGGAGGACAGAGAGAGCGATGGTGAGAGTGATGTGTGGGGTGAAGTTGATGCACAGAAAGAAAACTAAGGACTTGATGCAGATGTTGGGTTTGAAGGAAGCGGTAGATCGGTTGGCGAAGGCAAATGGGGTACGTTGGTATGGGCATGTGCTGAGGAGGGAGGATGAGCATGTATTAAGAAGGGCCCTTGATTTAGAGGTGAGCGGTCCAAGGAAAAGGGGAAGGCCAAAGAAGGCGTGGAAGATGCAAGTGGAGGAGGAGAGTGGGAAGGTTGGGATGAGGATGAGGGATGCTTTAAATCGTGCAAAGTGGAGGGAGGGGGTAAGAGCGATTGCCACTAGTTTAAGGTGAATCCGGCCACCCTCGTCTTCGGGTACCAAACCGGATTTAAAACTCTGGACTACTACTAGTATTGCATTGTGGGATATATACATTGTAGTCTGGGAGAGGAACCATTTAGAGGTTATGAATAGGGTATTTGGTAGTGGATATATATAACGTTTCTGGGAAAAATTAGCATATTTGATAGGAGATAATTTCCAAGTGAGGCGAGGTTATTATTTAATGTATTTGTTCTATTAGCGGCTCATGTGCTAATATACAAATCAAAGGTGTGTCTATGTCCAAAATAATATTTTAACATTACAATAAACAATGAATATAATTTATGGTTTTAGTTCTATTGGAGATGTGCCTTTAAATAGAGCTATTATGGTAACTTTAGTAGGTGTTAATATTTTAGAACATAGAGTGTGGTGATGAGCCACATGCCAACATTTTAAACAATTTTAGTATATATTCCAATCATAAAACTCAAATAAATAAAGCAAAAAACTGATGTACCTGATTTATAAAAAAACATATGTATATGACTACGCATACTATATTTAGTCACTTGTATTGTTTTGCAGGAACTTTACATCTATGATTCTGCCGGGAAAGAACTTTATTCAGATTATGTACATAAGTTTGTAAGTATAATTTCAACAAATCTTGTCTTTATCATTTAGTGAAGTAATGAGAAAAGAAAATAATAAGAAAACAATAGTTATAGGGATTGTGTAAAATGTATTTTTGTATATGTACATCATGTGAAAAATGACACATTATATATTGGGAATTGGTAAAGATGTTTATCATGGTGTGTGAAGATATGTGTGGATAAAAAATAAACTGTGTTTTGTATAGTTACATCTTGAGTGGCTTACATCTTTTCTACCAATACTAAACTGTCTTTTAATTCACAGTGGGAACATCCATCAGTTGTCATGGTAGTTTTTGATGTCACAAATGAAACATCATTTAAAAGTTGTCAAAAATGGTTAGAACGAGTAAAAAACAAAACAAACCAGGAGTTACCAGGTAATAACACTATATTTAAATTACTGATATTGACGAAAAAAAAAAATTATAGTCTAGAAATTTTAACCACGACATCTGTATTTAACAGTGTATTTTAACATGTACCCCCCTGTACTCGTAATGGTTGTAGAAATAAAAAGCAAAATAACAAAATAAATTACTAAACTTTAGAATCAAACTGAACAAATTAAAAAAATAATATCCAATCACCTTACTATACAAAAACACTGCACATGTTTTGTGTTAGTTCATAGTGTAATGAAAAATGTCACTGTGCTACTTGAACACACATTTTGTTCATTGGGAAATGATTCTTTCCTCTAGTGGTTTACTACCAAATGGATTCAAGTAGATTGTGAACAAAATTATGAAAGTCAGATGAATAATCTCCAAGAATAGTTCTGAATCAGTATTTTTATTTTTATAAATTAAATACTCACCTTGTGTATGAAATGCAGACTTGTAGAGTTTTAAAGTGTGGTGGTCGTTGCACCGTGCATATGCGAGATACAAGTCCCATATTAACAAAGATGATTACTTTGATTATTGTGCAAATTAATGCATACAAAAAGGGTTAAGTTTTAATAGGGTTCAGTGGTATCCATCACTCTTCAACTATGAATCATTCTACAATGTACCAAGTACTCAGTCAATTATCCTCCCAGAAATGATATGCCAACACATCAAACTTGTCAATAAGTCTGACATGTAGTGACCTTGCCACCATGGCAGGCTAACTTGTTATTCGCTATGAATAATACAGTAACATTATTACCATTGCAGGTGTTCTTGTTGGTAACAAAATTGACCTTGTAGGCAGGAGAGTCATTTCTCCCAAAATAGCCAGAGAGTTTGCAATGAAGAACAGTCTGGAGTATTGTGAATGTTCAGCGGTAAGTTCATCCTGACCAGTGCAGGGGTTTTGTTAAGAGCTGGCTACAAGCTCAAATTGGCCATCTACTTTCTGGTCTCTCCCCCCGACCGCCTACACCTGTCTCCTTGCAGCACTTTGCACTGCCGAGAGCCTTTTTATTTTATTTTGGCCTGTTACAGAATGATGCCCTGCTAATAAATGCATCTGTGAAACCCCTGCCAGTGTTTTATTTAAACGAGAACAAAAGCTGTAGACCAGCATGCAACTTCTTATTATTGTAACCATTTAATTTTAACTCCTAAAAATCTTTGTGTTTTCAGCAATGTATGGCATTTGTCAAGACAAAATTTCAGACTATCTTGTTGATTAATTTTCACTGACTTGCAAAATTGTTAGCTAAATTAAATCATTTTACAGTACGTACTCTTTATAATGATAAATGAATTGAGATTCTACATGCTTGGTTTGCTGATCTATTATTGTCAACTAATTACATTTTACTATTTATTCACAGAAAGAGATGGAGAATGTGGAGGCAGCCTTTTATTTTGTAGCTAATGCATTCTACAGATTATATGAAGAAAAAGTGGAAGTGATGAACACATTGGTGTAACTGGGGATATTCACTGTGTCAAATATTCATAATAATAAGGAAGGGAATATTATAAGTATTAGTTACATAGCACATATCACAATCTGTATGACTTCTCACTTTTTTGCATTGATTGTAAGTTTATTTGAAAACATCTTCAAAGACTGGTTATCGCAGTACCGTTTTGTTGTAAACTGATTCTGAAGATTTCACGGATAATCTTGCAATTACACATCCCCTTCAATTTTTCATTCACACTTGAATATTCTATCAGTTTTTCACTTCTCAATTAAGTACAATGTTATAGATATTTTGAGATATTTTGATGTAATATATGTACCAGTCACATAAACCCATGTAGGAGACAGAGTTAATGTCAGATTTGCTAGACTCTGAGTATGCATCAGTAGCACTACACATTTCCATGGTACAGCAACTTGTACAGGAAATACCAACCTATATATTGTGTAATCCGTCCACTCTACCTAATTTATCTGTCTTTTCACCAAGATGTGCATATTTTATTTTCACTGTATTGATTTCAGCTATTGTATAATATTGTTTCTACTAGTGATTGTCGCTTTTTTATATTCATAATATTCCATGTTATGCGGTGGTACATTATATGAAGAAAGGTAAAATAAATCATTTATTAGTAAAATTAATTTATATGTAAGTACAAATTTGTTTTCACTTTTGGTCAAGTGACAATTATTTCACCATCGCTCTTATTTCTGCAATCTATGAATTGGCCACATATGTATTTATATGAGGATTGTAATCACTACAGATAACTACAAAAATCATAAGCCACCAGAATTGTAAATCAGGCAAGAAGATAGTTGAACTACCGAAAAGTTGGCCAAAATTGAAAACCAACAATATCAGCTGCAGCAGGTATGGCCCATACGATTGTGCTATTGAACTGTGCACAAGATAATACAACTGGTTGCTGAATCTTTCAATTTTATCATTTTTCATAGTACAAGTCTGAAATACTCAATAGTGTGAGTTTACTAAAAGTTAACTGGTGAGTAGGAGGTTTAAGGAAATATACCCCAAACTGTACAGTTTATTTCAGCAAACCTCTGACAACATATTGATTGATTAATTTATTAATGTCATTTTGTAAAAACTTAATCTCTATCACTGTACATTTCAAATTAAAAATGAAATAAAATGGCCTGGATGTACATGACATACCTGATATATACATGCATTATCATGATAGGACACTGGTTGTATATCCTCTCCAATCACTCAGTACAGTGACTATTTCACTACATGGCTGGGTTAAACTGGTTTCAATTCCTTAGTCTTTCAAAGAAACTGATCAATTCTAGAGAACAGTTTTGGTTACCGGAAAAATTTAGGCAAAACGTGGTACACCTGACAGTATGAGGAGATTCACAGAAATCTCTGGATATGAGTATGATTAATATGGTGAATTTTCTACAATCTCCCCATCACAGTTGCAGCATGCATACATGTATTCTACACAACTTTCTACAAGCAATGGGCAAATGATGCACCTAAAACATGCAATGAGAAATACATGTACACTAAAAATTAGGTGAATGTTTTATTTAAATCAAGAATGATATTAAAGATACCACGTGTAGTAATTTTATATCAAGATTTGAAAGTTATCCACAAAACAGGTTTACAGAAATGATCCTACATTTGCCGTCTGCACTGTAACCATGACTGTTGATACCAACATTTAATTAAAATATATAATAAATATATTGAAATATAGTTGCCAGTCACATCATTTATATTGAAATACTTTGGTTAAATTGTTGGACTTCACAGTAGCACAGATTTCTCATGTCTGATGTAAATTGGTCGGCTCAATATTATACGCAGTACGCAGAGCTTTCAATTGTACGATGGAACACCATCATAAAATGCTAGTGAAGTCACGGCTTTCTGATGTCCACTGTATTCTCTCTTTATCTCTCCTTGTTCAACACTCCATAGTCTTGCAACATTGTCTGAAGAAGCTGTAACAAATTGCATTAATTTGATAAATTGTCTGACAAAATTATTGAGCAATTCTACATTTCTCTCCGTGACCTGAAGAATAAAGATACATCTAAAAATATTTTAGGCTGAGAAAAAAAAAATCTCTGTTTCTCGTTTCCGCGCGCATCATTTTGAACTATGCACGTTTTTTTCTTACAAAGCATTCCAAAATGCGCTTATACTTGTGCTTGTCTCAAATTTCCTCCATTTTAGCCCAGTATTCAAAAAAAAAAAAAAAAAAAAACGCCGCCATTTTAAAATTTCCATGAAACGAGAAACAGAGAATTTTTTTTTCCTGGCCTTAGCAGCTAAAAGTTCAATATCAGTGTAGGGTTAGTTGCTTATCCATTATAGTTTAACTGCATGAAATTGGTATTTGGGATCCAACAAGTCGCATGAACTATGATAAGATTTTTAAATCAAAATACAATATATTGTATAAAAATATTGTGTTTTCGAATTAAGCAGGGGCGGGTGTGGGAGGTGTGCATAATGTGAATTGTTGAACAAAACCACTTACCTGTTACAAGATACTGTGAATCTCCAGAAAAAGAGCAATCCCAAACCCATCTCTGTGTTTTGTCGGACAATGTCGTCTTTAAGGAAAAATCAGCTGTCCTCCAAATTTTGACTGTCTGATCTGCGGAAGTTGTTGCTAATAATCTAAAAGAAATGTATGAAGTATTATATGTGCGTACTACATAGACATGTGTTTTGAACTATTCAGATTTATGAGTCAACCTTTAATAGTTTTATGCAAATCACCTAATTAGTATGCATACTCACGTTGAATCTGGACTGAATTTGCATTTAAGCCCATATTTCTCATGTGCAGGAATTTTTGTTTTTGGAATTAAGTGTGTTAGTTGTTGTGGGGCGTCTGCCTGTGCCCTGGTTAAAGACCAGATGTAACAGTTGCCTTTGTTATTGATTGCTGCTAACATTGTCCCCTCAGTATCTATACTGATGTGTTGAATTGAAGAGTCAGGTTCTGGTATCTGTCAACAAAACAATAAATGTAAACAGTTCACTGCTACAAAGTGATTTCCTGACTCACTGACAGAACAGATTACTTGGAAATACACTGATTATACATTGTATGCCAAGTTTGAATCAAGTCTTGTATTATGTGATAAAAACAACTGTGACCAAAATAATCTTCAATTTTGGGTTCTTTTTAGTGAGAATCTATTTCTAATCACACACAAATACTGAATTGTTCATGTACTTACAAGTTGTTCATTATGATCAGTATTTAGGTCCCAAATATGAATAGCACCACTTAGATCACCTACATATAACTCACCCTGCAATGGAAGAGATACACATCATTGTTTTCTATCAAAAATATCATATTATTTCAAACTTAGAACTCAATAAACAGGTCATATAAGTTCAACCTTTGAACCCAATCAACAGGTCATATGAATTCAACCTTTGAACCCAAACAACAGGTCATATCAATTCAACCTTTGAACCGAATCAACTGGTTATATCATTTCTACCTTTGACCCCAAATCAACAGGTCATATCAATTCAACCTTTGAACCGAATCAACTGGTTATATCATTTCTACCTTTGACCCCAAATCAACAGGTCATATCAATTCAACCTTTGAACCGAATCAACTGGTTATATCATTTCTACCTTTGAACCCAATCAACAGATCATATAAATTCAACCTTTGAACCCAATCAGCAGGTCATATCAATTCAACCTTTGACTCCAATCAGCAGGTCATATCAATTCACTTTTTAAATCCAATCAACAGAACAGGTCATATCAATTCACTTTTTAAATCCAATCAACAGGTCATATCGATTCACTCTTTAAACCCAATCAACATGTCATATCAATTCAACCTTTGAACCCAATCAACAGGTCATATCAATTCACTTTTTAAATCCAATCAACAGGTCATATCAATTCAACTTTTGAACCCAATAAACAGATCATATGAATACAACCTTTGAACCATTCAACAGGTTATATCAATTCAACATTTGAACCCAATCGACAGGTCATATCAATTTAATCTTTGACCCAAAATCAACAGGTCATATGAATTCAGCCTTTCAACCCAATCAACAGGTCATATCAATTCAACCTCTCAACCTTTCAACCCAATCAACAGGTCATATCAATTTAACCTTTGACCTTGAACCTCATGATATAAATTTTTTACTTCTAGAAAGATATTTTGTTTTTTCAAAGAAGTATGTAAAATTAAGTCCAAATAAGGAATTCCTTATTTACCAATGACACAAATGTAAAACATACAAACCTGGTTTGGATGTAAACATACACAATTAACTGGTGCATTGACTTGGAATATTCTCTGACATTGAAGACTACGTGACCTAGAACAGTGATAAACGTAACTATTAGGAAACAATGACAACTTACAAATACACATCTTTATTCATGTAACGGTAATTTTCTCAAACATAAAATGCAACTGGGCGTGATTTTAACATTTTACATGAGTTTCGCTTGCTTAGCCACGGGTCACTATTGCCCTGTCGCTTGGGGCACCCCCAGGGAGCGTTGAAACCAAACTCATGGCAAAGCAAAATGTAGATCACTTCATTAATATTTAAATGAGTCTGTGGCAGACACTAGTGGGGCCATTCTCTGGCGACTACATAGCTTAGTGATTAGCTTAGTCTCTGCAACGAAGAGACTCTGCCAGTTTAAGTCTATGGTTTTGAAATTAATTCACCCAGTAGTCTTGTACTTGTAAATTTGCATCGTTTGTATTTCTTGATAACTATTTTCCCCATAGTTATAAACAGAGAAAATCAATTGAGCTTTACAGCAAATTTTCAAGACAGACAAATATAAGTTCGGTTGTACCAGTAGAGATAAACATTCCAAATTAATGAATTCCCTCAAATTCTGAAATTCCTAAAACTGATAGCGATGGAGTTTACGATAATCACAATGTAGTAATTACCTGAGATCCCATATTCTAGCCGAACAGTCTTCACCACCAGTAAACATCCATTTACCATCTTCCTGAAAGCCGACAGCAGTGACATTCTTTGATACACCATCATAGTTGATGACTGCGTTGGGATTATTACTATTTAAATCATACATACGAATATGTTGATAACCTGAAAGGAAGAAAACAACAGTATTCAGGACATTATACAAATGTTCACCCCACAGAGTTGGACATATAGTTTTAGCGACTTGAAGAGCTCATTGTCAACCAAGGCAAAGCTCCAAGGGTCTCTAAAACTCTAAAACAGCATATACTGGCACCCACCAGAGTCTGACCGGACCAAATACAAAGAAGTTCACTCAATCTGTTTTAAACTTTTTTGTATTTAGGCATTCCCCTGAGGTTATTATGAGGATACAGAAAAGTATGCACAGTACACGGTTTTATCGACATTCATCGGTCGATACTTTTGCTGTACTGTCTTTGTGCAATATACTATTCGGTATCCTCGTAATAACCTCATAATACTATAGTCCATGATGTCACTCCTATCAACCAGCTCTTAGAACAATTGATGTCAGGGGATAACCTTATAATACCGCCCTCTGAAGATATAAAATAATAACTTTATTACACAACTGCACCATCGGTAGGTGCTGTGTGGTAAGGAAACAGATCAGAAAAAACAGAAATAAACAAATAATTTCAACAACAAAAGTTTCAAAATTACAAACATAACAAACTAAAGGGTATATATAAAATACGGATTCACAAATTAGGTTTTATAAATTGTGTTTTTTGAGTAAGTGCAGTCCTACTATTTAAAATGCAAGTGAATATTAAATTTCGGTTATCTGTATGACACATTTTTAATTTACAGTCTTCTAAGAGGGTATTTTATTCTTGGGTGAAGAAGCAACAGTCAAGGATGAAATGTTCTTCATCTTCTACAGTACCTGTGTTTCATTTTTTACACAATCTGTAGTTTGTCTCAATTCTTGGGAATTCTCTCCTGCCTAAATCCAAATTTTGGTCACTAAGTTGAAACCTAGTAACCATTCTTAGATTTATCAACCATCATGCCCACCACTACATAGAAAACATGTACAAACCTGCCGCAGATAAGAGCTGTCCATCTGGTGTTATTTCTAAACAATTCACCTGCTAGGAGATGTTAAGGACAAAAACTTCATCTTTATAAATATTAATCATATTTACAAATCAAACTGACACAAGAGATTTCTATTGACCGATTGAATATTATTGGAATATTTTCAAATGAGATTGATGTGCACTGTGCTCCTTGATTGGCTAATTGGGTTCAGCTGCCACTGCAATTTATAAATATTTATAAATATTTTGGTTGCACTGAGTACAAAAACAATCTAACAGAACATAAATATAAAAGGTAGGTTGAACTGCAGGTGCCTTGGTCCCAGTGACCAACACAATAGGTTAACTCTCTGTCCCATACACTAAGGATGTCCTTCACTGACCCATACACTAAGCATGACTTAAAGAATGATCAATACAGTAAAATAAAAAACAGCGGAGGGGTTGCCAAGCTTTTGAAAAAAATCGTATGTTCATATTCACAGTTAATTCACATGCTCTATGAGGAATAAAAACATTGTCATTTTTCTGAAACTTTGGGTAATGGTGGGGCACGTAGAAAACAATACTTCCTACAAATAAAATCAACATTTTTAAAGTGGTATTCAAGTTTCAAATGTTTGTGACACACTAATACATTGTACATTGTGTGATAGAAGGTTTTAATGAAAATGCTTACACGTCCACTTCCAAGTGTTGGTGACGTAGCAACTATATAGCCACTAGATACTCAAATACATTTAAACATTTCCTGAAATCATTGAGATAGTTATTTATTTTACATAGATATTATACACGATACCAGAGATACATCACTTGGGGTTTGCAACTACGGTGACATTATATCAAGATCCCATTTCAATCTCGCTCTCGCATAAGCGTTCCAACGAAAAATGCGAATGCGCGAGGTAACTAGGATACTGGGATGTCCAGGTGGATCGAAATAGCTGCTCACGATATGACGGATTATGATAACTATATTTTCTGTACATTTTCGACGTACTATATTTTTTAACACTATGAATGTGGTAATACATGTTTTATTACAAACCGCCTATGTCATGTCAGAAGGTCGTAGCATCAGTCTCGCTATCTACGTGATGAATGAATGGGATCTTGACATGATGTCACCATACAGTACTATGCGTGTTGCAAACCCCAAGTAATGTACCTCTGACGATACATATATTGAGTAAATAAATCCCCTAAAATAAAACATTTTTGAGATATTCAAATAGAGTTTCTCCAAACTGCTTATATTCAAACTAGCGGGAATGTATGTGTGCACATCAGAAAAATGAAACTGTATCAAACATCACCTAAGGATGACCCACATAAGAGGTCTATATGACCTCACTGACCCCCCCCCCCCCACATGATAATTATGAACCCTATAAGAGCAACAAGGATACTGAGTCGGGATGTTGTACTGTACGATGGCAAATACCACTGTGTGCTTGCCAAAATCTAATACTATGGTCGTAACCAGCAGTTGCTAAAATGACAGGCTCACTTCCACTTGAATTTCCTCCCGCTGTTGGCATGGTAACCACTCTATTAAAGATGCAAGAATAAGTTAATTGGTTAGATACAAGACAGTAGATCATGACACAATTACGTGTATGAAAATTTGATACACGAATTCGATAAATTTCCTAAATCAGCTGTGATGCCCGTTTTGTCTTTTGATATAAATGCACAACAGTGTCGCCACTACAGAAAGATGCTTGTCTGAACATTCCACAACTAAGATGTACTCACGTACAGTTCTATAAAATATACGTGAAGTGCAAGATTGAATCTGTACGCAATTTAAAGCACGGATGATAACGATTTCCAGCACAAACAGTGACCCAGACTACTACTTCCGGTATGACCCATAACCTTTGACCTTATTTATTTCCAAACTAGACGAGGCGTGTTGTTTGTGAATCGATGCAGGAAGTACAGGTGTAGTATTGATTTTAATGAGATTATATTTACCAGTCTGTGTCAATTGGTGTTCCACATTACATGTACAACTCTAAATATCGAAATATATCAGCAAATAGTGCAGTAATGCTGGCGATTCCTGATTTGAGTGTATCGAGGTCTGTGGAAAAAATATACCATAGTTCATATTCTAGTATGCTACTTTGTTATTATCACACTCCCTCAATACCTGTGTGCGGATATGCACCCCGATAATGTTGACAATTGTGTCTCAAAACCAAAATTTTCATAACAGAAATAAGAAAGTTTAAAAATAAGTATTATTTAAACATCAAATATCAAAATAATATTAGCACTTGGACACTATTTAGTCAACTGAAGTAAATTATCTACAGTGCAAACTTGAACCAGCTATTCCATGTTTTTATTCTGATATTTTTAATCCGGTGAAATTATATAATGTCACAACCTGTGCCATCTTAAAACAAAGTATATGGCATGATATACTGTAAAATGACTAATTTTCACTGGGTTTAAATTTTGCTGATCTACCATTTCAGGCATATTCAGTTTTAAATTCACGGTTTTATCATTTAGATAATGTGTTCTATGATAAATTTTACATATTCACTGGGTTTTAACTTAAATTAAAAATTTGAATTGGATTCAAAAGTATATCACCTAAAATTTCATTACAATGTCACCAAACGCATATTTCTCCAAAAAAAATCACATTAAAGACCCTCGTGCGCCAAATACAATTTTTTTTTTTCATTTTATTAGTAACGAAAGTATATTCTAAAAGAAGTTTCAAATAAAAACGAACACAACTGCATTGTTAGTAGCAAATGATTGCGGTAGTGAAATCCGGTCATGCCGAGATTCACAATTGTTGATTATTACCTAGTAGTGATTATAATAATGTGCAAAAAATAAATTTGTTGAATTGTTATGAAATTCAAATAAATTTCAACTTATTTCATCGTAAGTGAATGATTCCGGTCGCATTTTAAACGCTTGATGCTGTAGAAATGAATATCCCTGTTTTGACCTGTGACGGTGTTCTTCGACCTGACAGGTCAATTAATTACCTAATTAACCAATCAAAATGATGGATGATGCCAACGTGTTTAAATTACCATAGCTCATTTAAATATGTCAATATTATTGAACGGTGAAATTTTAGGCACCAGGGAAGATTAAAATAACACCTTAAAAAACTGCTGAAAAATCAATATAGTTGATTAATATAGTTATTTTGAAAAACATTTTTTGGTAGTTATAAACTAAATTTGTAATTTTGTAAAATAAAGTTGACATTTTATACAGAAAATAAGTAAATATGAAGAAAATCAGGGGCCACAACATTTTTGTTTGTGCTTCAAGTTGCTTAGTACCTACAGTTTTATTTTTTCTTGAAGACAAGCAAGCTGACTCAACTTGATATTGGTGTTTTTAATTTTGTTTCAGAAAACCTACAAAATCAGTCCTGTTAGAGGGCGCACTGACGAATTTTTGTTTAGTGTTAGAAGATGACCAAGATGCACAACACAATTAAATACACTAAATTACACAAATTTGGATCAGCCACAATAAATAAATTTGTCTTCGCTAGAAAAACTTTCACTTCTCAAGCCAATCCTGTGCTTTAATTTGCTGATGAGCACATGAATTATAGCGCCCTCATTGATAGACTCAGGCACTAACTAGTGGTTTCCGTTGGTGAGGGCGCACTAACTAATGGTTTCCATTGGTGAGGGCGCTGTAACTGTGATTGTAATACTTCAGTTTACCCTTACTGCATCAGTCATGAATGGAACAATTGGGAGCCATTGACAAAACATAGGATTGCCAATTTTCAATGTATATTAAGTTTTTTACAATTTTGTAATCATTCTTATCTTCAGTTATCATTCCTTCCAAATTTTAAAATATATGTTAACACAAAAATGGTATTTCATGTAATTGTATCTAAAAACTGTCATACTGTGTCCTGAGCACACAAGTATGAAATATCTTCATTTCTCTAGAATGGAGAACATCCATATATATGTAGTGATATACATTTTTTTTGCTTATGTAGATAAATAATTTTGAAAACTCGTTAATGGATTGCTACAGGGTCAAGCTAAAGAAAATATTTGTTTCTGCCACTGGCTTGGCTCTGCTAATTGGTGTCTTTTACTAGTGAGTACTTCAATTGTTATTGTATCATTTCTCTGCTTAGTATGGCCATCATTTCCCTGCTTGGAATGACCATCAATTACCTGCTAGGATGGCCATCATTTCCCTGATTAGAATGACCATCAATTCCCTGCTTAGAATGACCATCATTTCCCTGCTTAGAATGGCCATCATTTCCCTGCTTAGAATGACCATCATTTCCCTGCTTAGAATGACCATCATTTCCCTGCTTAGGATGGCCATCATTTCCCTGCTTAGAATGACCATCATTTCCCTGCTTAGGATGGCCATCATTTCCCTGCTTAGGAAGACCATCATTTCCCTGCTTAGAATGGCCATCATTTCCCTGCTTAGGAAGACCATCATTTCCCTGCTTAGAATGGCCATCATTTCCCTGCTTAGGATGACCATCATTTCCCTGCTTAGAATGGCCATCATTTCCCTTCTTAGGATGGCCATCATTTCCCTTCTTAGGATGGCCATCATTTTCCTTCTTTGGATGGCCATCATTTCCCTGCTTAGGATGGCCATCATTTCCCTGCTTAGAATGGCCATCATTTCCCTGCTTAGAATGACCATCATTTCCCTGCTTAGAATGGCCATCATTTCCCTGCTTAGGAAGACCATCATTTCCCTGCTTAGAATGGCCACCATTTCCCTGCTTAGGATGATCATCATTTCCCTGCTTAGAATGGCCATCATTTCCCTGCTTAGAATGGCCATCATTTCCCTGCTTAGGATGATCATCATTTCCCTGCTTAGGATGGCCATCATTTCCCTGCTTAGGAAGACCATCATTTCCCTGATTAGAATGGCCATCATTTCCCTGCTTAGGAAGACCATCATTTCCCTGCTTAGAATGGCCATCATTTCCCTACTTAGAATGGCCATCATTTCCCTGCTTAGGATGGCCACCATTTCCTTGTTTAGGATGGCCATCATTTCAGTGCTTAGGATGGCCATCATTTCTCTGCTTAGGATGGCCACCATTTCCCTGCTTAGTATGGCCACCATTTTCCTGCTTAGGATGACTATCATTTCCCTGCTTAGGATGGCCATCATTTCCCTGCTTAGAATGGCCATCATTTCCCTGCTTAGGATGGCCATCATTTTCCTGCGTAAGATGGCCATCATTTCCCTGCTTAGGATGGCCATCATTTCCCTGCTTAGGATGGCCATCATTTCCCTGCTTAGGATGGCCATCATTTCCCTGCTTAGTATGGCCATCATTTCCCTGCTTAGGATGGCTATCATTTCCCTGCTTAGGATGGCCATCATTTTCCTGCTTAGTATGGCCACCATTTCCCTGCTTAGGATGGCCAGCATTTCCCTGCTTAGAATGACCATCATTTCCCTGCTTAGAATGACCATCATTTTCCTGCTTAGGATGGCCATCATTTCTCTGCATAGGATGACCATCATTTCCCTGTTTAGGATGCCATCATTTCCCTGCTTGGAATGACCATCAATTCCCTGCTAGGATTGCCATCATTTCCCTGATTAGAATGACCATCAATTCCCTGCTTAGAATGACCATCATTTCCC